AACATATTTTACTGAACATGTCTATATATAAGTTTAAATTCATAGTACGTGGAAGTGGTTAATTAATGAAGTGTGTCACAATAATAAATTATTTAGAGCCTATTACATACATACTAAGTTATAAAATGAACGTTATGATTTATTATGAATCATTTATAACCAAACTAGCGATTCACATTTTATGACATTAAGATCAACAGAATATATACTATATTCTCTTCTGTAAGACTAAAACACCATGTAATATGAATTAATTCGAATAATTTGAATAATTCATTGCTATTCACCAAATTGTGTGTCTTAAAATATGGCTAAAGATGTGGTACAAATGTTTAGATATTAATAAAATATTTTATTTAAATTTCTATACCTACCTATGCCGACGTATGAGTAATTATTATTTAATACCATACAATAATAAATAATATTCCTAATTATTTTGTTTTAAATTGTAATAATACATCTATATAACCATTGATAATAAAAACTATTTTTTTTTTTTTTTATTGAACTTAAGCCCGGTGATTAAGGGTATTAGCTGTTGTAGGGGTAAGGTTGGTACTGTAGGTTGTTTTTACGATTGTTAGGGTTGTTACGGTAGGTAGCAAACACGTGTATGTGTGGCAAGTTTTTTAATTACTAAGAACAGTAAGAACCCGGGTGGTCACCTATCCGGGAGCTAGTAGCTGTGGCCGTTACTTACTCCCAGTCACATTCCGCGACTGGTAGCAGCCAACGCGCCACGCCAAGCCACAAACTATTTTTTATTTGTACTTCAAATCAATACCTATGTCGATACTCGATATTAACATCATACAAAAACCAGAAATCAACAAATCTAGGGTACGATATAATAATTACTTCATATATGCACTTATATATAGGTGTCACATGCAAGGGATTAATGAACCACATGCAGTGGTTGATTTTCACTTTAATTTTCTATAAAAAAAAATACAAAAATATACATAGCATCTCAAATGTATGTATATATGACTGCCCAACAAAATAAAAAAATTAATCATAGCTAAGGAGCTTTAAAAAACTGTTTCAGAAACAAAATAAATGAAACAAATGTATTTTTCAATAACCATAAAGCCTAATCGGCGATCACTAGGTGAATCTATAGGTTTTACTTGGTATATCAGGATTTACCAGGGGCCGCCCCAAGTAGGGGAACGCCACGCCCCTAACCCCCATATTTCTAAAAATTGTATATTGTTAATAACAAAATTACAAAAAGCTTATAATAATATCGAAAATTTTTCTGAAAATTATGACTCAGCCTCCACTCCCGGAACCATGTCACTGAAGCCACCCCCGGAATTTATTAAAATCTTAGATGCATACATTAACCTACAAAACCAAGCTTTACCTAACAAATAACAATCGGGTTTGTCAGTAATACATAAATAGGTACGTATATTATAAATATATAATAAATGTAATCATACAGTTATAGGGATGGGAAATTTCCCGAAATACCCAGAAATGGGTGGGAATTCACAGGAATCATACAGAAATTCTTAGTACTAATTAAATTTTACTCGACATAAGGCTAAATAATAGTGTACCTATTTAATTTAAATATTCAAGTTCTTTGCTACATTTCCATTTAAAAAAGCACTATTACTACTTGAAGATATAAAAACTAAAAATTAGGTTTTAATTTGAATGCATTTGTTATGTACTAAAGGTACCTACTACTGGAGGAATAGATGGGTGATGGGTCCTTTTACTCCCATTACAATTTTGATTTTTTACTTTATTATAACAAAAACACAATCAACATTGTAGGTACTAAATAACAATTTAATCCAACAAATATTATATGACTGTTAATAATAATTAAATTTAAATTTAATAAAATGTATAAAGTGACACCTTATATGTATTTCTTTAATATTTTAAAATATCATTTTCAACTGCCAATTTTTATAGTTTTTGGCATTCCCGTTAACGGGAATATTCCTTGACAACCCTGAACATGCTATATAACTTCCTATATACCTCTCCTAAAAATAATATACCTCCATTCCATTTAGCAGCACCCATGCATATATGACCCGTATTAACCGACGATTTCCTCATACCAACCCACCGTTGTTGTCAGATAAGCTTATTAAGAGTGTATGAACTGTAAACACACTGAGATACGTATAAATTACTATAGTATAGGTAATAACAATGACAATAATAGGTAATAAAACAGCGGTAAATAATATACATTGTGTGATCGTCGTGGTGCAGGTCGTTCAAGGATTCGAAATCTTTGATCTAGATATGCCTGCATCACAATTCATAATAAATAGTTGCATCACACAACCTACGCTCAAATACGCTATAATCAACACAAGCCTCGGATCAGTATATAGTGAAATTATACATAATCGATAACGGACTAACGGAGCAAAAATAATAGTGCGAGGGGGAAACTATATACATCATATTATACTATAGCTCGTATTAGTGTATCAAGTATAATATGTATATTATTATTATGTTATTATACATCATAAGGCGCTATTGATTATTATTGGCCAACGTGTATGCATAATAAACACACACAAACATAATGTTATAATTTATAACAATATAATATGTTATGCGCGGTGTAGATAGAAACTTGGACCGCCGGCAACTGTTTTGGCGACGAGGCGACGGCGTTGGTTCGCGCGGAGACGCCGTTGCCGCCAATAAGCAAGCATGCTCGGCTCGTAAACAAAAAGCGAAATATACATACATATATATATATAATATATATTTATTAATAAATAAAAACGTTACTTTCTATATACGCCTATATCAATGCGCGCTGCACATAGCGGTACTTTCTCTATTCGCGAAACACAATAGGCGTCCTGCAATATTATATTATTATTATTATTATTATTATTATTATTATTATTATTATTATTATTATTATTATTATTATTATTATATTACACTTCCTACAAATACCACATACGAGCGCGCGCGGCACGTTATCATTATGTCGTTGTACGGGGCGTAAATACATACTACATTATGCGCGTGCGTATATATATATGGCCGGGAATGTACGGTTGTTGAAAGAAAATAATAAAACAACACCATATAATAGTAGAAATAAAATCGTCGATAGATGTTTGCACAGATTATAATAATATTTTATGCGCGCCCGTTGATCAAGAAAAACCGAGACATCCCGCCGCCACCGCTGTGGTCGCAGATTGTCGGTGGCGTTCATATAATACATATACAATATACATACCAGGCACTCATGATATAATATTATATTATAGAAGAAAAAAAACGGGACTCAAAGTCGAAGAACCTAAGAAAAACCGCCAAAATAGGTCGAATGAATACGTACACACACACATTTGACTGTGATTTTGTGCACGATGTAAAAAAATTAATAAAAAGAAGGCGTAACGGAGAGGCGTGCGTATTAATATTATACAGCCTCACGCGCGCGACGACTGCACAGCAGCCGTCACGCTCTAATGTATACAATATATAATAAAGGTAACTATCTATATTCTATACCCGAAACGTTCGCGTAGACGCAGCTTCGAGTCGGCCCCGTTTGTCGTTTTTTCGTATTATCGCCAATCCGTAGCCGATTCCGGAAAAGCCGATTTCCTTCAACGTACGCTTTTATAATAATATGCGAATGAAAATATGATATACATATTTATGTAGTGCAAAGTGGCCCAACATTGTTATTTTGAGCCGATACTTATTTAATAACATTCATATTATTTGATTTAAACTAAACAATAAATATAAATATACAATGAAAACTTGTTGATTGGATTTTCATCCACCACTAAGTCACTGTGTAGTGTGTATATATAAGCTTTAAAGATTAAAGAGATGCCTTATAATACCATCGCAAGTAAAGTTAAAATTCCTTTTCTCCAAATACAAATTTGCTATTTAAAATATATATTGAAAATGACCTCGAATAAAACTTTGTACTTTGATTATTAAATACGTGTAACGAGTAGTGGCTAACTACGCTTATACAACACATCATATAATATAATGTATAAATCCAACTTTTAAGAATATTTAGGAATCATATTTTCAAATACTTAATTTTTTATCCCATTTCAAGAATATCCTATGGAGTTAACAACTTCTGTTTTTCAAATTATATTTACCCTTTTTCGTGTAAACAGTGGGGGGCATTTTTTTAAAACATTGAATAAGTATAAATCAAAATTTTAAACAGTGGTTTTAGAGTTAATTAACTTTGTGTATATTAAGAATAATAAGTCAGACAGTGCAATAGTTTTGAAAGATATAGAGGCTCAGGGCTATGATTATTTTAAAATTAAGATACTTAATTAATATTAATATATCAATATTTTATTATTTGTAAAAACTAACATGGTAATATAATTCTTCGAACATAAATTGTAATAACCCTGAAACTCATACTTTGAATTTTTATTTAGAATTTGTATACATTTATTTTTATAGAAAAAATGGGGCTGAATCAAATTGTATTTTAACACAAAATTAATAACCCAAAAGCTCACTAATAATATTATGATCTAGTAAATTCTAGTTTAATTTAAATATGTTATTTAAATTAAATAATAAACACATTGTTACCATTGACGGGTACCTACAAGGGGGTTGGTGAGAGGACCACGCCCCTCCCCTTTAGTTGTTTCCAAACAAAAAGGTGCATCAGTTAAATTTATTACTTTATTAGTGAAAATTATTTAATAAGTTTAGAATACGTTTTTTATTTATAAAAAATATACTTGGCTGAAACAGTTCACAAAGCGAGGTACACCCACATTTTCCCGTAAACTGAGCGTTTTTTAAACTATGATACACCTATATATATTATAACGTCGTATTTCATTTTTTCTCGGGCAAAGTCAGAATATACAGCTACAGTAACTTAAAAATCTGTATCTTATATTGATTTAGTTATTATGGTAAGGTGGCTTATAGAATATTCTATTTACAAGATTAAAATAAAATAATTGACTTACTTGGAAATGCCTGGAGGATGGCGGTGGTTGAGGATAACACTGCATCATGTCTGCAAAAGATTCGAGTTCATCAAAGTCAAACTCAAACGATGGTTCGTAATACGGAGATTCTTTCACCTATGGTAGAATAAAAAAATAATAATAACGATAATAGTAATAAATAGAATACACGAAAATAACAACAATGTAACCAAATAAAAGCATAATAATATATACACCTGACAATATTACACACAAGTATAATATAATATAGGATGATCGATGTGTACAGGAAATCGAGAATTGGTTACGGACTTTTTTCTATACTCTATCTTTCTCTGATCGACTCTCTATCACGCTACATAAAATCCACTATGAATCCCATAGAGAAAACATGCCACCCATTCTACAATTCGATTTTCCACTAATGTACCGTGGTATTGTATTACTTTAGTGTAGTCTAGTTCACATTGCATACATGCTACACAAAAAACTTGTACCTAACTATACCAAAGTAAAAATGAACATTTAATTTGAAATTGCATGAATGTATTTATCATAAATGATCATGTATAATAATATCAGCACCAATAATTAATACAAAAATGTAATTGTTATAATTGTGCAAGATATAAAGAAACTAAGTAACAAAATGTAATCAAATTTCCTATATATCCATTTAATATATAGTGGTGTTATACGAAACCTATTTGACATAGTATACTATAAAGTACCCAACTTTAAACATTTATTTATATTATCTAGTAAATAACTAGGTACTTTTAAAATTAAAATTAAAATTTATATTTTATGATACATAATTTGGTCAAAATTAAACTTTCAATGTTTTTTAATTACCGTAATAATATGTTATAAGAAATATTGTGAGTATTACATTATCAAGCATTTTATGTAAAAATTGGACATGTAATGAATTTATAACAACAAAATAATTTGTAATTTTCGTTCTTTTTTTGACAAATTTTGTAAAACTTTGAACTTAAAAAGTTTATAAAAAAAAAATCGAATTTATCAAAAACTGGTATTGAGTATATATTTTTTGGTTTACCGCTACTTTTTGTTAGGCTAATTTCACAGCCAAACGACGTACCGTAAGGGTGATAGTGAAACAGATCTTAGTTTTTCTTAGTTATTAAGAAAAGTACTGCAGTAATTTTTCTATTTTAAACCACTCATCACTCAGTGTACAAATTTTCTAAAAGAAACTGCCGGCATTGTAGAACAAATAGAAAGAGATTTTCTTCATCAAAACGTGATAAGAGATACATAAATACTAAATAGTTTTATCACTGATGTCAGTTTCTAAAAGATTTAATTGAATAAATTAATTATGTGTTTTAACAAATCATACATTTATAATCAAAAATTAGAAATATACTTATAGGTGAATCATTATAATTAAAAACAGATATCTTTAAATATATTTGTATTATTGCTGTGAAAATAATTATAATCATATTAATTGTTAACAATGTAATTCACACGATTATTACTACAAGAAATCATAGAAGTTTTAATATAGATTGTAATAATAATAACTGTGATCAAATATTTAAAATAGGTATGTAGGTATATAATATATATGTATAATATAATATCAAGAGTCATAAATACTGTAAAAATTAAATTACGAATCATCGATTTTATAAAATTCAGGCAGGATGTATAGGCGAAGTGTGGCACTATAGTCACCTCATTTGTACAACATAGAGGTATTTTAAAAGCACAAAATGGTCAATGATAAATCATTGGATTTAAGATCCGATTCTAAGCAGAGATTGTTTACATCTTAAAATGTATACAGGACATTTGAATTATGAAAATAAATAGAAAGTAGTATGTTTTATAAAATAGAATATACGAAAATAGTCTTATATAAGTAATACATTTTTACATTTTAACAAAAAATTCAAAACAAAAGCGTTTTTTTGTTCGAGTGGCAAATTTGAAAGTAAAATTACATATTTTTGTTTTAAATAAGCAGTACAAGTACCTAGGTGCCTATCAAATATAAATTGTATTGGTTTTCTATTGAGGTAATGAAATTAAAAAGCAGCTGTTGTAGACATTTAAAGTTTAAGCTCACAAAAAACCAGTTTGATTTACAGTTTTTAGGTAATATATTAAAATAGTTAGAAATATTATTACTATTATTATTAATTTATTTTGTAAAAAAGGACACTGTACGTCTGTACGTAACGTATATACGTAATTAATCTATGGGCAATGTATTCAATTTTCAAAAACAGGGTACAAAGACATTGCAAATATCATGATTGTAGTGTATTTGTATTATTATTTTAAATACAATGATGAATCATCGTATAATAATAGAACGGACAAAATTTTGTTTATTTTAAAGTTACTAGGATAATTTTACAGCATAAAATTAGTAACTTATAAAAAAATGTATTAACTAAGATTTTCAACAGTTATCGAGTAACATAGCAATGTAAAGTACCAAACGTTGTATTTTAAAATGAAAGAATCAACAAGAATAACTAATTACAGGAAAAGTGTAAGCAATTGCAGTGTTCTCAACTGAATCATTTTTTGAATGTGACGAATTATTGTAATGATTTAAAAAGTATAAAACAAAAATAAATTACTATTATAATTGTATATATACTGCACTAAATGTGAGCAAAATAAATAAGAAAAACCCACATTTGAATAATATCCATATTCTGTATTCTACTGGGTACCTAGCTTTTTTAATTTTAAAATCCATAATATGTTATAATATATATATATATACAAAAATAATGGGACTAAATCGTATGAGATACTTTTTATACTAACCTGACCAATAGCAAACTATATTTATTTTTATACTAAATAAAATATATACAAAACAAATATTTTAAATTTGTTTTCTCACACAGCTGAAGAAGCACAATATTGTGTATTAATTTACACTATGTAGTATATACATTTATATGATTGAGTAATGACTATAGTACATAAATTATGTACTTCATAAGAAAATTACCTATATTGATACAAGTTTTAAATAGTGAAATAAATTATAAATTAGACCAAAATATAAGTCAAGAAATTAAATTAAAATGTTGGTAAGAATTATTGAAAACATTTTAGTATAATACTAATAATTGCTTACAAGTTACATTTCAGTGATTGTTCATAATTTTTTGAAAAGTTACAACTATAAAAGGTATATCTATTATGTGTGTATATAAAATAATCAATTTATATAGAAAATGTGCTTTGGAAGGCGATAAGTTCATAAATACTTGAATTAAGTAGATATTTTATGTAAATGATTATTACAGAAGTATAAAATATAAATCAATAGCTTATTATGTATAACTGGTCCACAAAACATTAAATTTTCATACGTATAATTTTTACCCACTATTAGTTAAGGTATTAAGAGGGGAGCATACTACTTGCGTCCGAAATTATTATCAGTAGGTGAGTATGCGTCCCGCAAAAAAAAGATTCAAAAAGATCATAGCGTATTTGCGTCCCGGTATACCTTTTTCTATGAACTAATTGCGTCCCGAAAATATGGATATAATCAATATAAAAATGTACATTGATGATACAAATTTAATTTTTAATAATAACAATATAAAAATTGTTATAATAAATTAATAGTTCAATTCAATTGCAATATTAATAATAATAATAATATAAAAATGCATGTTATACATTTTTCCATCAAAATAATAATAATTGCAATAATAATAATAATATAAAAATTCATGTTATACATTTTGTCATAATAAATATAGTATAATATAATAAAAAATAATTAAAAAATGCATGTTAAACATTTTGTCATAATAAATCATTACCGAATCATACTAAATTTACAATTTATGAACTATCGGTTTCAGTGACACGATACTATCGATTTTAATGATTTTTGAAGATAATATCGATAGTAATAATATGGCTGATTTGCGTCCCCCAAAACGGGACGCAACTTACCGGTCAAATTTACTACCTGAAAAATATATGTTTTTTGGGACGCAAGTAACATGCAGCCATTAAGAGATAAGTGAAATAATATATTTAATATTTATATATCTACATGTCTATATTATATATATATGTTGTTTATTAATAATTAATTAAAAGAAATACTAGATGTAAGTTAACTATTGACAAGTTGATAAAATATATTTATGTATATTGTATAATACTAAGTGTATGACTTTTATGTGTTTACTCAAAACATTGCAATTTATTTAAACACAAATATATTTTTTTTCCAAAATAATAAACACCAATACTAAATGTGCACCACTTACTATTGACTTAATTATACCTATATATACTGTATATCGTAATAAACTATGTAAGTATATTGTACAGCAACTGTAATAGGTCTATATTACATATACGTATAATGTATATGTATTTACATAATATGACACCAACACAGAATTAATATAAGCGTCACAAGAATCATCACAAAGACGTGAACAATTTTCATAAGCTCTTATAATTACAAATTTTAAAATAGGTAGGTACCTAAGCATATAGTTATGATACAGAATAGTTAAGGATTTAATCCATGTTGTTATGCAATGATCCTACAATAATGGATTAGTTTTAAAATTTAAACGAAACGTAATTTATCAATACATAACAAATGTATGGTTAATAACTGTATGCCACATAAATGTATAATAATATCTGACTATCGTGTATTAAATCATAATTAATTTTTGTTTTTGAATTATGTAAATGTAATAAATTATATGATAAAACTACTTCTAAATCCAAGTACTGCAGTTGTTCAGTTAGTCTAAATCATATTTTATTATATAATTAAATATTCTATTAATAGGTAATACGTATGATAGTTACCTATTATAAACTAAAGGTATAATACCTTTGAGTAAACGAGAGTTTATGCAGTAATGCTACTGACTAAGACATATAATAAGAATGTAATACTTAAAAATGAACTCACACGAAATCCTGGTGTTAAGCTTGGAGATTCGTTATTACTGCTTGACTGGTCATATTTTCTGTGTTCAGCAGATTCATCGGCATCCAAATCCGATGTTTCGGTATCATTGTCACTGGACGCTCGTCTCGAACGACTTTCGCCTGTAAAAGATTAACACAATAACGGCACTGAAGTCTTATACGCAGATACGAGCACTACAAAGAACGGTAATAATTTTTTTAGAAAGACATGCGACGCATACACCGATTGTCCCATACGACCGTATACCTGGTTGTGTTCAGGTAAAATTAAGTTTACGTTACACAGAATAAATAAAGCGCCAAGTCATCGGGGACAATAAAGGCCACGGCGGTATCGGTCGGTCCCTGGAGGCCGAAAAGACGTACGACGCACTAATGGGCAGGGGAAAAAATATTCGTCAAATATGGGTAAATCGAATTTCGTATTGTTATAAGTTTTTTATACAAAAAAAAAAAATTAAATATGATGTACGACTGCGACTGCGACTGCGACTGCGACCACTATACGACCACGGCGACAACAACGGTGCGTATAAAATGATGACGAAAAACCGAACGAGTGACTACTGCTGATCGGTGGGCTGCCGAAAAAATACAGTTCCCCCCGGTCCAGACGCACGATTGAGGCTCTCCGACATAATATTATCCATCAATCCAACATGGCCGCCGATGCCGCCGCCGTACCACCGAGTCACTTCAGTTCCCATGACCCCGCATTCCTGACCACCGCACCACCGCCGCCGCCACAACCTCCACCACCACCACGACCTCCACCCCCACCACCATCGCCACACAACCACTGCACTACTGGCGGTCTTCCGATTTTATTTTATCGTTTTCATTATTATTAATCCCCCACCAAGGTGATTTCCATACGTGTAAATAACCACCACTACCACAACGCGTCGTTGCGTGTGTATCATCCATCGTCTCCTCCTTAATAGAGTATACTGAAGAGTACGTGTGTGCATATATATATATATATATATATATATATATACCAGCGGATATACCATCTATTGCGTGGTTTCGGGCTGTAGGTGAACCGGGTATAACGACACTTTTCCTGCTTGAGAAAATCACTTCCGGCTACAACAGATACACTCACAGAATCTATATATATATTATACCTAAATGGCTAAATGCATATTAAAGGTACACTGCAGCTAGCATATGAATCCCATTTTTACACCCAGGGGAAAACGACGCGTATCCGCTCTCTGCAGCGAACTGCAGCAGTGAAGTCGGAAAAATGATAAAATCTAAATTGGAAAGTTCTGATTATCGTTGCGAATTTTAACATGCATATAAAATATAAATACGTTTTCTCAGAGACGCATTCTCGTGTATTTTAACACTGCATTTTATATATTTAATACATTTTTTTTTAGACAATAATCCACATACGCTCGTTCCAGTAGATGAATAGCTATATGTGTATAATAGGACAGTGTTATCATAGCGTACTCGAAATTCACTAAAATATACACCTACATTTATATACATGCAAGCGAAACAGGAGATTCGTATTTGCAGATTGAAATATGTGTATTGACGTGTAACGACGTTTTATATATAATAACGAGCGTACCTATATATATATAATATTAACGATGTATAAACAACAATGACAAAAATGTAGTTGAAAAACCCGGATAATATACATAAATATATGTACATATACCTCAGTAAGTAGGTGCGAATGTAAATAAATAAATACATTCATTGTACCAGTGAGTGTGCATATAAAAAATGTCAACATATATGTATATAATATATATAAGAAAAATAGATGTACCTAAACAAAAATATAAGTTTTAGTCGTAGAATACAATAAAAGATAATTCGGTTATTCGAATAAGGCTAAAACAAAATAAACTTTGATATTTATTATTTAAAAAAACAAACGATAACGTACGCTTTATATAAATATATTATAATATACAAATGTACAAATTATACAGTGAAAATCAAATTATTTGGTTAAACCCTTATGTATATATAATGTAATTAATTGACAACACATGGATGCAATTAACTTGAACAGATTATTAAAAATGACGAGCATATGATGTGTATAATATATTTCCGATTGTTCGAGCTTAAATGTATATAGATCAGTTTTTATGTAAAAATGATCGGCTTAACAATTTACTGTAAAAAGTGGATCTTAATTGAAACATATACGTTTGAATCAGCAAGAATTTGATCTGTAAATAACCAAGTAATTCAATAATCAAAATCATATATAGCATCTCCTAACATACAATGTTCCATTTTTATTTTTATCAATTTTATAACTCAAATAAAAATTGTTAAAATGATTGGTGCTATGCAATGTAAGTATAAAAAATGATTATTAATTATAAGAGGGTATAAAAGTTAAAAAATTAGATTTCGGAGTATTTGAAAAATGTCTATAAACAACAGAGATTTCACTGTATATCATATTATAGACTATATTATTACCATAAGTTAAAATGTCCATAAAAAAAAATACTAAAAAAGTGTTTGATACATTAGAAACGGTGAATGATCTTTCCGCGCGATTTCTAGAACGATAATTCACATAGAAGAAATATCTTTATTTTAAATGTCATACTGTCTGCTATAACAATTCATGACGTCAATAATATATTCGCCCACTTAGTTTTTTGTTCCGGTCATATACCTACTTGGCATATTGGAACATAATTTAAATTATCATTGTTTCTATGAAACAACTTTTACATCATATTAGTAAGTGTTATTAATATTCAATAGCTAATAACAATTTGATATTTAATATTATTTGTATCTTTGCTAATCTGCAAGATCTAAATAGTACATAAACTATAAACTCGTATAATATATGCTGTAACTCATCGTGTCATTAAACAGACAAAATAGTGTTAACATTTATGGATACATTTAAAAGTATACACACATGTGTTGTTGCAACATTAATACAAAACTTTTAGCACAAAACATAAATTTTTTAAGAATAATTAATTGTTTAATTAAGGCCTGTGAGGCTGAAAATACGCTTTGAACAGTATTTATAATACATCTTTAAAATTTAAAATAAAATAATGACTCTATAAGAAAAAAGAAAACTTATTAATGAAATGTATAGAAAAAAAGAAAGCACTCTTTTTCGGTCATTGAATTAACTTATTGCTCTAATTATTTTTATCTTAACACGCTTATTAAGTGATGATTTGTAGTCAACTTGTTTACTAAAGATAAAATACAGACCCGATAAAAACGGAGTGTACTATATTTCTAAAATGTATAACTTGTTATAAATATAAATAAATTGATACAACATGAGGGATTAAAATACATATACCTTCTAATATACCTATAATATTATGTTCTATTTGAATTACGAAAGATTAAATAGTAACGATTAAATGTGCCCCCTTTATATTATCCCGCCATCATTCAATTATCACAACCATCTGCCCTAAATTATTATCCAATCGGGCAACAACATTTTATTGGTGTAATAATATAGTGTTAGGGATATGATGGCGCTCTCACGATCAAAACTAAACTTGCAGCGGCAGATGGTCTCCAGGTGGTTTTATAGGTGTTATAGGTACCTCCCTTCATCATTATTAATATTATTTATATTTTATTGTTATTCATTATTAAAGATTATTATTATTTTTACATAAAATTAACCGGAAGTCCTGTCAACGACCAATTCCAATTTGCATTAAATAGTATTGTTAACATTCAACAAAATAGAAACCTGCAGCCCAAAAATGAAATAAGTTATTTAATACTCAATAGGTTTATAGGTATATTCGCCTATCGCATATAATAATGTACTTAAAAAAGCCGAGATCTCTAAAAAATACAAAAAAATTGATTACACCAAACATCACAAAATGTTTTAATTACAACGTGAATATATGTTATACGTAAAAACATAGGTATACAATATCAAAGCCAATAGTAAGCAGTATAACAATATAATTGATTTTTAAATGACCGAATTCATTATTGTAAGTAGGTAAATATTAAATAGTTGTGAATTATTAACTTATACCGGTAATCGACCAATTAAGTTGTTTTTTTCAGAAGCTATAAGATACAAATGTTCATTGAATATTGTTGTTGTTCATTATAGAAATTAGAATTTAAATATAATAAATACGACACTTATTATAATATCAGACCAGACTGCTGGTGTGTATATCACTCAACAACAAGGATGTGGTCGTATTGATATTTTGTTCTTCTGCGATTAAAACTTGTCATTGCCATTCCCGCACACCTGTACTTATATATACCCTCAAAGACATAATATTTTACGTACGTCCTACTAATTTTAATCGTAAGAACATTGTGTGAAAAAATAACGATGCAATGAACATAGGTGTAATATATGTCGGCGTGTTTTAAGACGAGCCTTCATCATCATTTCAGCCAGCGGACCGGTCATGTCAACAACAGGTAGAGAGAAAAAAAATATAAAACGAAAATCTTTCGAACACTTAACAACATGCAGCAAACGGAATATCGCCTAGTCATCCCAGCCACCATCAGATATAATATCGGCTTAATTCACGGTGCAAACGCTTCGAATGTACAAAGCCGCCTTTTGTGCACGACTACCTACGTCTTACACTCTATCATAACACCCAGATATATTTCCCACGTGGGGGGAGAGGAGGGGGTACATTAATAATAATAATAATAATAATAATAATTATTATTATTATTATTATATTGTTAAAATTAATAGCCGAGCCAAAATCAATTTCGATACACGGCCCGAAACTCGAGATAACATAACATATTACATAAGAATTAAAAGATAGGTACATAGGTACAGCCGATATAGCTACAGGGAAATAGCTCCAAATTCCGTCGTCGGATCGCGTTCAGTTGCACCCCGCGCTAATCCCACTGCAGGCACGCGCGCGCAAATGGATACGCGAGCTCATAACATTATATATGTGACGATATGCGTATGTGCCCTGAGCACGTTATATGTTTAAAACCGTATAACCTACACTACTGCATACGGTGTTTGTCTTTGTTAAATAGGACAAACACGCGAACAAACAATGAGCGTGTAGAATTTGAGAGAATATTATTATTATATTGTCTGACATTGTAGACCG